AGTGATACAATAACATCCGCCGTGAGAGCTCGAACAAACACGCAGATGCAGATAACAATGCTCCTTGTTACAGGGAAAATAATGGACACACACGTGCACATTCAAACACACTTGAATAATGAAACACATACACCCGTGGACCTTCCTCTGTTGCGCTGTGCACAATAAGTCTTGCTTCATTAAAGCCAAATCTCATCCACTATCAGTTTACAACCACAGAAGTCGTTTGAACCGCCGGGGAAATACAATTCCATTTTGTTTCGGGGGTTATCTTAATATATGAGCTTGTCTCCGTCACATTGGTCTGCGGTTATGAGCTGGGCAAACACCCACAGCACTGCAATATGCACCGGCACATTCACAGGACAGATTGGTGCACACAAAGCAATTAGCAGCTCATATGTGTGTAATTGTGTCTGTGTCTGTGTGTGTGTGTGTGTGTGCATGATTCAGCTCCCACGTCTGGTTCTTCTTCTCCTCTAATTTCTACATCCGCTGTTATTAGCAAACAGTTTATTGGGGATTGCAGTTTGTTTGTTCACTTTCCATCTAATCCTTGAAACAACCCTCTCAGAATGGAAGCGAAACGACAACACTCCCGCACAGGTACAGTGCGCTGCCGCCACATTGTCAAGAGTAAATAGTTTTATGAGATGTAACTCGCTCGGACACAGTGGCGAAGGAGAAACAAGACAAATGGGGCACAAAGAAGACAAATCTCTCAACACTGTCAATGTCTGAGGAGCTCCGGCCATCCATCCTCCATCGCTCCTTCATTCACCATCTGTCTGGCCCTATCCCACCTGTATGACACGCGATCACTCTTCATCCCTCCATCCATCCATTACCCCTGTCACTTTATCCCTCCATTTCTCTGCCCCAAGGCCCCGAGCTCCCCTTTACCTGTCACAGAAGATACCATCTAAGTGGATTACTTGGCGTATCATGAGGGATACATGGTCAAATATCTCCACATAAAGGTTACAATATGCCTATGCCGCTTTCAGCCATGACGTACTGACGGCGCCACGTGATGACAGGGTATCATTTTTTTCAATCCGTTTTTTTAAACTAATTATTGTATTACTGTTACCAAATCACTTTATAACACCTTATAGTTTGACCGCCAGTTAGAAAATACATACATCATTAGTAAACTGTGTTTTTTTGTCTCTTTTAATGATTAAATATTAAAGAAATTAATAAAAGCTTCTTCCAGTAAAGTCATCAGTCAAGTCCGAGTTTAAAAACATTTACAAGATAAGGAGTCAATAAAGAAAAGCTGTGGTAAATGCTTTGCATCTTTTCTGCCAGCAGATATGTGGTTAAACAGTCCATTAATGATGATTCATGATGAATTTAGAAAAGATAAAAAAGATAAGAAGAAAATACTGAAACAGCCAGATGATTTTTCACAACCTGGCAACATAGAAATTGTCCTTACCATTGTCTTACTGTTATTGCTGATGAATCCATGTGTTATTTTCCATTATTACTACAATGCTTAGTATAGAATGCCTCATTGGATAGATTTAAATGCATGAAATGCAAAGCTGTTAATCTGTATTCTTTTATTAAAAATTGATCTATGAACACTTTGTGGAAATAGTTTGTAAAATAGTTTGAATTATTGCTTAGAATGACAAAGCAGTTTTGGTTTTTACAGCCTGAGATTTTACTGCTTTGTTTCTGTCTCAGTACTCTCATCAGTCTTGTTTCAAGCAGCGGCAGATTTCAGGGAAGAAATCTCCCATAAACCCACTGTGCGCTGTCTGTCCGGCACCGAACAGTGACAGAGACAGAGACAGATAAAGTGCAGGCACAAAAACAACTTGTAAGAGAGTAAGGGGAGGGTGGGCAAAACAGACAATTGCATAGGACCCCCGACTTGAGAACATCTGATTACGTTAGTTCATCAAAATGACAATTTTCGGAGAACCCCCTTAAATCCTCTTTTGACAAAGTCCCTTGAAACATTCCAGATGGAAGTTAATTAAAAATGAGTGGTTCCATTTTCTCCACAAACTGATAATCCAATCATTGCTGTTATTAATATCTTATTTATAATCACTAATTACTTTGAATGTAAAGATATTTGCTTACCAGAAAACAGGCATCAATTAGCGTGTTTACATTCAATTACGTTATGAGATCGCAATCTGCTTCCTCCAGGAACCTGAGAATCTAAACATCATGTAATATGAATACCTTGTTCCTGACACTGGAGAGGGGGGGGCTGTGCAAAGCTGATTTCTCGAGCTTGATTTCTGTAACCTCAGTAAACCGAGTGAGTTTGTGACGATTTACACGAAAACATCAAGAGAAAACGAAACGTATGGCGTTGGCAAGCCCAGAGTTGTTGGAAAACGCTACAGCAAAAATATTCGGTTACTGAGTTGGTGGGTGAAGCTGACATTAAAATACCTGGTTTAAATTTCAAGCCTTGGAAAAATCTGAGCCCCAACCACATACTCTGAACTAGCTTTCTCCTAAACCCTCGTCCTCCCTCGTCCTCCCTCGTCCTCCTCGCCGGGCCGTGCAGACCAGCAGGCATCAATCTCTGGCCGGCTCTTCCTCCTCTTTAGTGATGGCGGCCTGACAAAGGCGCAGAGCTTGTCACAGTCTTTCACAGCATTGACCTGCCACACCTCAGTCTCCTCTCTCCTATAAAAGGAGGAGTGAATGATGGGAAGGCGAGACGGAGGCATGAGAGGAAGAGTGAGGAGGAGGGAGGGAGTGACAGACTCATACAGCATGCATAACAACTGAGCACGCCTCTCCACGTGCAAGGCTCCATCTATCTCCCTCCCCCGACTGTCTCATCTGAGGCCAGCGGACACACGCGAGTGCAGAGACACTCACATCCTTACAAAGATACAGAAGGTTGGCTGCAAGCTGCTACACAAGCTGACTATCAAAGCTCGGGGAGGAAAAACAACTATCACACCCTGATGCCTCAAATTTCAGTTGATATGAGGAGGGTCACACTGGCAGGCCCGGCTGCAGTTTACAAAGCCTCTTTTTATCTCAGAGACATTCCTGAAAAAGCTCACAGTGCTGACACGCATGTCCACTCAGAGAGCACCATATGCCGGCATGTTCACACATTCTTTCATGCACACATCTTGACCTTTACAGGGAAACTCTCAAACTCAGGAATATTGGCTGAGAGTAATTACGCATTACAGAGTACAACTTATCAAACTCTGTTCTTCTTTTTCTGTCTCCAGCTTGATTTTACAGTCTTATATACATGAGGCTCAGTGTGATATGCTTTTATATAATTCTACATCCAGATTAGTGATTCCAAGCAAATCAATTTTACACATTCTTTGTCATATTGTGATACATGTCAATAGCCACAAATAAACTCACTCACAATGTTGATCATGAATGCTGTGAAAAGGTGTGATCAGTTGATCTTTAGCTCTCGCAGGATTGAGCAAGGCTAGCGTTTTACAGCACCCAGCATGTCGGTCCAGCTTGGCTAACGCTAGCAAGCTAGTACTATCAATTCAAGTGGTTTGCATCTTCTGTACTCTGATGCAGAGCCTCGTCTTTTTTCTCCATGAGTCTCAATTAATCTGATTTTGAACCGCGTACTTTATGGTTCTTGCAGGTTAAAAAAAACATCCATTTCATCTACATGAAACACATACTCATTGTTTTTCCTTGGCTTTTAAAAGTAATCCATCAATCTGTGATTCTATAGAAGTGTAAATTAAGTCATTTAGTTTGGGATGTGGGCAGTGGAAATGATGGGGGGCTGGGGATGGATGGAGGTAACTCGGAAAAAGCCGTCTAAAAAATATGTTTAAATGTGTAAGAACTGAACTTTGAGTTCTTGTTTGGTGTGAATTTGCACAACACTGCCCATTAATATGTGTCCTGATACAACTTCATGTTTGATCAGGATAACTGTCAGGAATCACATTCTGTACATTCAGCAGAGGAAATTGAGAGTAAGCCCATTATTAGTAATTATTAAAAAGTTAATCAAGTTTTACTCTACTTTTTGTTATCAGTGATTTAGTCTGATAATGTACAGAAAATAATTCTGCTGCTATGTGGGCCCTGGGCTGATTTACAGTATATCACATATGGCAGTAAATGAATTGCAACATGAATTTCAATGTCTCCAGGTTCAGGTCTGGCTGGAAACCAGTGTTTCATGTGGTTCCCATCTTTGTCTCTTCATTTCCTATCATCTCTCCTCTGCTGGCTCTCAATTAAGGAAATAGACTTCCACCAAAAATAATACATATATATATAGATATATAGCTTTAAAAATGATTTGTTTGCATTGAACAGTCAAGCACAACTCCATCATGATGATGAAGTCCAACTGACGCTGCTTGTGCTCCATTATGAAGCTAGACTTTGCTCTCTGTATCACAAACTGTAGCTTTTCATCAGTTTGATGAGTGCCAGGATGACGGCAGAATATCCCCACAGATCAGCCGAGTGTTGGATGAGCAACGATTTGCAGGGCTCAGGAATGAGCTTCCTTAAGGTCCCGCCAGGCCTCAACTTTGGTCAACACAGAGGAATCCCTTTTAAAATAGTGTCCAAGAGAAAGGTCTGACTCTCTCAGAAGTGATTACAACCTAGATGTTCTCTAAGCAAGCCCTCGGAGATCAAGTCAAACAGCCCTGTGGCCATGAGCAAGGGTGAGTCTGCACAGTGCACAGCTGCATGAGCCCCTGTGATCAGACATGGGGAACAGCACGTGCACTGGGGATTGAACTTTGATCATGACTAGATTAAAGTTGAAACTGAAATGTGTTTCTTACACACAAACACACACACACACAGACACAGACAGACAGAAACACACTCAAACACACACACGCACAGATCTGGCAGCAAGTTGAAAGGGGGGGGGGGTGCATTAATGAGTCATTAACTGACCAAACTGCATAATGAGGAGTAGTGAAGATATCAAAGATGACAAAGACACTGTCACAGCCAGACAAAGTCAAAGAGTCTGTATTCTACAGGCAAAACATTGTTTCAGGCCTTGTCTACCACACTGCAGGTATTGTTTTAAATTTCTTTCTTTATGAACAATCACACGTCCATCATTGTACAAAATATCTTCATTTAGACAAGAACACAAAAAACAAATAGTTAAACAAGCAATCAGGCCAGCAGGTGGCGATAAAGGCTTTATCGATGGTCCGTCAAATACCAGAGACGAACATTGTGAGCATGCTCACTGAGCTTAGCTCCAAGTAAAACAGGGTGAGGCGGACGCAATCGATGTGGAGCAGTGATGCTACATTTATTTGCGGAATAAACGCATCGTAGAGAGACCAGTATATAGCTGCCATTGGTGTTTTTGGTGCATGTTTTTTACAGAAAGCAGCATTTGGCATGTGAAAAGTAAACGGTGATGTCATCGTTTCCCATGTGCTCAGTTTTACATGAACTCAGAGAGCACTTTGGAAGGTGTTTGCAAATCTTTGTTAAGTGACTTAAAAGACTGTTTGTTTGGCAAAAAACCTGCAAGACAAGGTGTCAGTAAGAGATGAACTGTGATTATCAGGTAGATGAAAGGATTGTTTCTGTCATTGGTTTATTTGATATGTTTCTTAAAGCTGGGCAGACGCTGTGCTTTTTGTTTTCAATCCTCTACGTTGTGTTAACTCAGACTGCACGATTTAATCAAATCATTTCATAGATCCAGCATTTCTCTGTGTAATTCCACTACGAGCGTAAAGTAAAATGTTGTTTTATATCACAGCACAGTCTCGACCAAGATGACAGTTTTAGCCACAACATGTAAAACACTGCTGCAACCACATCAAAACATGTTAACTACAGTTGATAACAGCTACTTTAATAGCAGCCACGTAAGAAAGTGAACTGTGGAACTTCTTAAAGTGCAAGATGGCCGACTTTCTGAATGTCGGACCTGAACAGATCGCACAGGAGACGGATTTTAAAACTAAACTCAGGCTTTATCCATCCACTGCCTGGCCATTTGAAGACATGATCAGATCAGTCCTCTTTGATTCAAGCTGAGAATTGATTATGTCCCAGAATAACAACACTTTGCACAAACATCACTTTCTGGATGGTTGATCCTCTTCGCTCACTTTTCATGAGCTGTTCGGGCTTCAAAACTCGAGACATCGTACAAGACAACAAAATTGAATTTATAGGGACTCAACGTTGACTTTTCTGTTTGGAGCCAGGAGATCTTTTCTTTATGTGACCGACTCACAGATCCAGCTTTCCAATATCACAGTGACAGGATATATGGAGTATCGAGGTTTGAACCATGAATATTCAGCTCATCACCATCTACAGAGATCTGTATTACCTCCTCTGGGGCATCAGTCTCTGTTCTTCCCAGCTGAGTTTTCCCTTTAGTCATACCGAGGAGCCAAGTCCTATGGGTATCGGTCTTTGGTGTCTCTGGATGCCGTAGGAGGAGCAGTGAGTCGCTGGTTCAGAAGGACGCAGCAGGGTCAGGACTGAGGAGTCACTCTCCAGACCACTATTATTATTTTAGGCGTTTCCGTGGGGGACCCAGGAAGGGGCACTGGGCCGAGGCCAGGGAGTGATAGGCTTCTGCTACGAGGTGCGGTTGAGAGATCACCATGGACTTCCAGCCTGACGTCTCCATCACATCTGCTGCGTGACTGCGAGAAGAAGAGGGCAACAAGAGGAGGAATGAAGTGGAAGAAAGTGACTAAATATTCAAAGAAAACAAACTTAATGGACAAAGTAACAGAACAAACAACTCAAGAGTTTGTGATTATATGACTCCATCTGTGTGGAGCACAGCTCTGAGACATTAAGGATTTGTCATACCAGCTGGCAGTGCTGTTATTTACTTTATATTTTTAAATATTTAACCCCAGAAGTCATTTTTGAGAGAAAAAAACAAAATGTAAATTAAATGGCACCAGTCAAAGACCACAAATATGTGGGCATGTGATGAGCAAGAGTGTTTAGTCACAGTTGTGTCGCATCACATCATGTCATTTCTCTTTACAGCCCTGCTTGAATCTTCTCCTTTATAGCCAATGACTATTTGCAACCCCCCATCACACATTACATATGGTTATGAGCTGTGAACACCTCAACCAAAAGATTATATTTCCTTCACACATTGTTTGATATGGTGGAAATATCATACATTAAGTAATGCAATAGATATTTGTACTCTGCATATTTCCATATTTCCAGGGGGTGCTACTTTACATTTCAACTCCACTATATTTCAAATATCCTTTTTTTTTTTGCTATACTCATACTTTTGCTAATTATGATTATTCAAATATATATCCAAATTGAAGCTTTATTAGGATTAACTATCAACTACCTACCTCCTAACAACATAAGGCAGTCAAAAATTACATAATCTTATTACTGTTTGGTAATTATATTTATAAATGCAAGATTTGTTCTGCAAATGGAAATTGATTAGTTTTATAATAATAATAATATAACTTTTTTTATATCGCACTTATCTAAACAAGGTTACAAAGTGCTTGACACAAAAGTCCATGGCAAAATGAAGAATCGATTGTACTAAAAGATATTCTGTTCAGTCTAAGAGCCAAATCATAACATAATAAGGTCAACACTAAGTTTAAGAGATTGCAGCTGTTTCTGCTTTTACAAACAAACCACATTTGAACGCTTCAATCTGAGCAGTGAGTCCTGGTGTCAGGTATTAAAGCTATAGGACTATTTGGATGACCCGTGTTTGTGGGGAAGTAAAAACTCATGTAAGCCGGACAGCCCAAAAAAGTTGTAAAAATCTTGTAATTAATAGCTAAAAAGTTTGACTCGTGGTCATCATCTCAGACACTGTGGCAGTCCTGACCCTCCCGACACCCTCGGGGTGCTGGCCTGCACTATCACGCATTCCACTGTGTGGCCTTTAATGACATTTTTCATGTTTCATTGTGAGTAAATACACAACAGCGTTTGTGTGTTCACATATCTTTATGTCTTGGCATGTCCACCAAGGTGTGTTTATGTGTGTGTGTTTGTGGTCACACGGTCTCCACACAGCAGCTCCAGACCTCCAGCCAACCTCTGACCCTATTCTCTGTGGAGGATGTGAACCCCTGCTTACAGTAATGGCTCTTATGCTGAGGCTGAGGCAGTGGGCCAGCGAAAGGGCACAAGGAGAGCAGCCACAGCAGGAGAGGAAGGAGGAGGAGGGGTGGAGGGAGGATGGAGAGAAGAAGACAGCAGCAGTGACAAATAATAAATAAATAGCATGGGAGGTGAGGGAGAGTAATGAAAGTGCAGAGAGACAGACAGGAGGGGGCAGAGGGATAAAGTGATGTGAAGTCAAATTAAAAAGAGGCCAAACTATGACCTCCAGTCAACAGTAATAATGAGGCAAACTGCCACAATTATCAAATACACTAATTTCAGAAAACCAAAGGGTATTTTCATCCTTTAAAGACCCTTTACTTCAATAACTCATGTTGAATTCGATCAACTTGAGAACACGACTGTGTTTTATTCTACCATTATACTTGAGTCTTAAGATTCATGTTAGGCTAAACAAAGTGTGTTAACTCTTTTCTATAACCAAAGTGGATAAGGAGAGTTTGGAAGGCTTTACTCTCTGCTACACCTCTGGAGAGGATGAATAAAGGAGGTGGGATGAAGAGGATTCCCATTGTCTCGACTAAATGACTGTAAGCTGCTTGTAAAGACTGGTCTGGAAGGAGGTTGAGGTGCTACTGGGGGGAGGATTATTGGCTCCTCCGTGTCATCTGTTTTCTGTATTCGTCCTCTAAATTGATTTTTGTTTTGTTGCTCTTGTTGCTGTCGATTGTGTCCGCAGGAGGAGGGTTGATAAGGCTTTGCTGGCCAGGAGTCCCCCGTGGCCAATTTTCCCACCACCACAACAACACTCGCAAATTAAACTGTCATAACGCCCATAACCACAATTAATGACAGGGATTAGGGGCAGAAATCTGCATTACTGAACACCTTTAGGTACACATGAGCTCTTGAGCACAGAACAAGAGAGAGAGAGAGAAAAAAGGGAGAGGAAGGAATGAAGAGGAGGAGCAGCAGAGGAGAGATAGAGATGGAATCTGCTCAGGAACAAGGCCAGGAGATGGAGTCAAGCTGCAGAGGGAGGACAGATGAATGGACAAAGGGATGTAAAATGTGTCTGGCTGTGAGACAGAAAATTCAGATAAGAGAGGGAAGGTGATGAGCAATTTAGGTAGTGACTGTGAAAAAGCCTTTTGTTTCAACTGGGCATTCAAATACCGGATCAATCACCTCTCCGTGGACATAAATAGGAGTCATTGATGCATAGGACTTTTTTTCACCTAACCAGGCTGCCTGCAATGTGATTAACATCAGCAGTTGAGGTTTATTGCTCAATAGCCCAATGTGATCTGGCAGCAAAATGTTTTGATCTTTGGATTCAATTAAATTTCCTCTGGAAACAAAAATTGCTCCTGCCAAATTAATGACTTGCTGTGTGTGAAACCGAAAACAAAAATCTTTCCATCAGCGTGGAAGTAGTTCTGCAGATGGATGATTTAAGTGCAGATATGTAACTCACCAGTTGATGAAGTCCACAGCCTGCGTCTTGAGCTGGTCAGCGCTGTGCAGGTCGGCGAGGATGAGGATCTCTGCGGCGTTCTCCACAGAGAGGCTCTTGCACAGAGCGTCCTCGCACATCACCTTCAGCCGCTCCAGAGCATACTGCCGGTGACAGAGAGGGAGGGAGAACAACAGGTAAACTGAATTACTTAAACAATGCTGCCACTAACAACTGTTGTCGCGCTGTGTAATGATACGGAAACACAGAATTGCTCCACTGCAGCAGCAACAAAACAACGGCTAAATTGGATAAGAAAATATATGACCAAGAGAGGGAAAAGTGACAGTTATGCAGACGGAGTTTCCACCGCGTTTGATTACGAAATTGCTGGGAACAATAATCTTCTCCTGCACTTCAGGATGAGTTGTAGACGATCAGCAGAGACTACAGTGAAATTTGCATCACCACCAGTTTTTCAATTTAGCAAAGTATTTACCAAAACTAATGATGTGAAGGAGTTGATATTAATTATCTGACACTAAATAGGACTTGTGCTGAGCTGTTTAACCCCCTGAAAACTGACATCCTGCATTTGGCCCCTCACCAACTGCAGGAGATGTTTTTTTTTGTTGCGTGATCATGTTTAAATCAATAAAGTAAAAAATATAATATTAATAATATTAATTCTTTCTGCAGCAAAAAGCTAGGACCTCTGTTTTCAATCTCATTATGTTGTATATGCTCATGATGTCTTCATCACTTTTGTTTCGTGCTGTTAACAGGCGGTGGCGCCAGGGAGTGGCAGGAGAGGAGCGGATGGGTGTGTCTCAAGAACTAAAACATTGAATTAGTTCAAATAACTTGTGTTAAGAAATGCTTTGTTCATGCTTCCATGTTGAGAAATCATTTGGATCAATATGTTTTACATGGTTATTAGGCAAAGGTTTATGTCAGATTTAGTATTTATTAAAGTCATTTTATAATTAATTATGGTTTATTGACTTGAATAACCTTTAGGTTAGGTTGTAGAGATTTTAGGGATGAAGCATTTGAAGAATTATGTCACAGTAAGCAGAAATACCAACGTAGGCACTAGCAGACTATTTCTATCGCAGTGCTCAAAGGGTTAAGACAAGTCACACTTGTTAAAAGAGAGAAAACACTTTCATCTGTTACTGTAATAAATTAATACAAATTCATTCAAGAAGGAAGAATATAAGTAAAGTGAGAAAATATGAATATTTAAAAAAAACTATAGTAGTTTCATCAGTTTTTCAAATTGCTTTAGCTCAACAGATACGGCTGACGTCCACATTACTGGAGAGTTTCTAAATACCAGAGCAGCAGTTTAGTCTGGACGGGCAGAAACTGAGATGTTTGGAAATGATGATGAAGCGTTTCTGACCCTGTTGTCTTTGCCAACAGCTGTTATGCAGTCAAATTTGGCATTTTACAATGAAGCAACTGTTTGCATGTGGAGGAGACGAGCGATTATTCAAGCATTTTCCTGTTTACACCTGCACGAGCACACCCAGTGTACGCAAGTGGTCATGAGATTTATGTTTTCAGTCATGTTAGTATGGACAGGGAAATAAACTGGTACAGAGCCCAAACGGTTGAAAACACCATCAATATGAGGGCAATGCTGAATCCCTCTCTAAAATCAGTGACTGAATTCAGACCTCCTGAAATTTTATTCAAGATGGTTTTTTGTTGTCTTTTGGTCTTGAAACCCTTTGACTGGCTCACATATTAAGTGGATGAATGGCTGCTTCAGTCGTAACATACTGAACTAGACTTGCTGAGAGCAAATAAAAGTTGGAAATACAACTCAAGCAGTATCTTGCTATTAATAAAACAAGGGCAACGATTTCCATGAAGACTGGGAAACAGTGAGGGAACTAAAAGAAAGAAAAGAGTGGGGGAGTAAAATGTGGGTTTAGATGAAAAGAGCTTACATGGTAGAATAAAGGACAGGTACAAGGTCAGTTCAAGGGTACATACGTTCATTGTAAATGAGTGCACATCTGTACCTCCCACAACATGTTTAGATGAGATTCTAAACGTGTATGTGCTCTGGAATTGAACATTCAGTGTCTCTTTTAGGGGACATTATTATGCATAGTGTCTTGTGAGTAAATGTACACAGAAGCAGGTGCACACACGTCCTCACGCACACACTCTCTCTGTACCTTGTCAGCTGCCGCCAGCAGGTCATCAGCCATCTTGTCCAGGTTGGGGGCCTTGCCTGTGTAGATGAAGCACATCATCTCTTTGAAGACATCTGGCTCCACGTCATTTATCTCCACACGGTTCTGAACGGGAGGAGAGGACAGGAGAGAATACACAGAGGGTTTAACAAAATAAAAGGCGAGAGAGGAAAAAGACACTTTGACAATCCTTCAAAACCACGCGCGGCGGCTGAGTGTTTTTTATTTCATGTCGAGTGTCCCAAAACCTGAAAATCTGAATTAAACTCACTCACCTTGTTTCGCACACACAGGGACAGTCAGCCATGCAGTGATTCAAAACGTGTCAAATAAGAAAAAAGAAAAGGATTCTCTGAACAGTCTGAACACGTTTCAGCAAAATTCCATTCTAGTACATTTATTTAACTCGTTTCAGCTGATTCCTGAAAATTAATCCCAAGCATTCATTCCTTGACAGAGCCTGCAGCCAGCGGAGCAGCTTTATCGCTCACTGGCACAGTGACGGTAACCTGAACCTTTCCCTCTGCACAGAGGGGCAGAACAAAGCAGTAAACCAATTATAACAGTGCTTTATCGTCACCACGGTGACCAGAGGCGTTTTAGCGGGGTCAGGTTGGGTGTACCAACAGCTTAGTGCATTTGTGACAACTCTGACCACTCGACAGCAACACAAACACACAGAGGAATAATGGAGGGAGAGTCTGAAAGCAAGGGGTCTGCTTTTACAGGAACTCATATGAACATATGTGAGCACGCGTGACAAGGATATCGTCTGCTTCATTCTGAACATATTGTTTCTAAAATAACTACGGGCTCTTCCTTGAGAGGCAATTTTCTTCATCACAGAAACCTCATTTTATAGTGTGAACACAATCCAGGAATAAGAGGGGGGGGGTTCACATACAGATGAAGAAACTTGACTCATTTTGCGCTGCTAATTTTCGACGGCAGCGTGTTGGAGTGATAATGAAATTTAAAAAAAGAGAAAATAGCACAGAGCAACCACATCATAGGTCACATGAGAAACGCTTTCCACAGTATTTCATAAATAGACATCACTCATATAGTTACAGTATCTGAAGCCTGCCTCTATTCACAGAGAAGTCATCTATTAGCAAGCTTCTATCTGAGCTCATTTGTCTCTCTCCTATGTAGAGGGGCTGCACGGACGCTATGAAAGCATCATCACTGCTGCAGGAGAGTGTTAACCCATCTATCTGTTTTCTCTAAATCACATGGGGACATGGCCCACCCTTTCTGCCTCCTTCTGATGAAGACGCCCACTTAAACAGCAATTAAGATGCATTTCCTGGCTCTATGCTTTATAATTTCCCCATTCGAGCCAAGCAGACATCAATATTCATGCTGACGTGACGGCTCAATCACCACGGTTCAATCTCACCACCTCCTATCATATGAGCACAACCAACTGTGGCACTAGGGCTCTCTGCATCACACATGTAGAAAAAAAAACCACACAAACAAACATCACAGAAAAGCATGCATGCACTGCAGGCAATGGAAAGACAAGCACATATACACTTTTATTCAATGCATCCATAACATCAACTGAACTCAGGGCAACTAAGAATTTAAATCACAGAGCTTTCAGTTTAAGTTACCATAAAACTTTTCAGTGCTACAGTACTTAACAATTAGAGCAATGAACTCAGATAATAAAGTACACACAATGGAGGAAATGGTTGTAACCAGTTCTCTATTCAACTGCACATAAAGTGACAATCAATCACTGCACTGAAACAAAAATATCTGGTGGTTGCTTTTACTTAAATGTCAGTTTATAGAAGTCATTTCTTAATTTTTTGCTATTTTTACAATACTTTTTTTAATAGATAGTTTCAAGCCACTATGTGTATAAGAGACTGTATTTATCAGCCAATATTATCTATTATCAGAGATACAGCATATTAGCATTAGCAAATAAAGCATGTCAGCCTATGGTCATGGCTGTACAGCGGAAATCATGTCTACACAAATGATTATGTTCCAGACGTTTAGTGCTAATGACCATAGACTGTAAGTAAAGATGGAAATTAAACCAAGCTATCCCGGTGCCATCATTCGCATTTGGAGCCAGAATCTGCACAGTTGTGGGGGATGAAGCTGTGCTAACAATGTTCCACGGATACACATTCTTGACCAGGGTGTCAAAACAGCTTGGCTTCATTTCTGATTGACCATCTTTATTCACAGTCAATGGTTGTGACTATTTGCACGAATTGTTGGAAAGCTATAGCATCTGCTGAGCTAACTGTAAAAAGACTAACCAGTTGGGAACAGGCACAAAAGCTTTCTGCTTTCTATGTTAGGTGGTGGGTTATTAACTCTGTTGTGGCATTTAATCCCAGGATTCAATCATTTCATTTAGTGAAGTTATTGAATGGGCAAAAAGCAAGGTAACAAGCTTAATTCCTAATTTCTTCATTATAAAAGATGCATTTAAATCTTCTCTTGTGTTATAACTGTTTCTAACCCATTCCTCTTTTTACAGAGCATTTTATACTCGAGAGAAAAGAGTTAAATAATAGTGGATGGTGTAAGACTGCAAATTGGCTACAACTGCCTCAGCCATTTTGAACTCTCTGTCTCTCTTTTCCCTCAAAGGTCAGAATTTGATTTACAACAACCACACAAGCAAAATCCACAGACTGCAGTGATTCTGTCCAAGAAATTCACGGTTCTAAAAGCTGGTATGACTTAACTTTCGTGGGGAACACGGCACAGTAATGCTAATGAAATATCAGACAAAATTTAACACCTCAGAGAGCACAGACAACCTCATTTAGTACTGTAAAATGTCCTGCAAGGTGCATGTTGAGGTCACAAAATTAAGGAAATATTTTGGTTATGTGCTTATGATCAAAAACAAAAATTGTCTGCTTAATAACTACATTTTTTCTGATGCTGGTAATGGCATTGGTCTCATATATTCAGTATTTTGCAGCTCATATGTTGAACCTAAACAGCCCCGCGGGGAGCACCGTGGCACCAATTCCCTCCTCCAACCAAAATTTCTCCTGAAACAGAGAAATGACAGGGACTAAGGTGAAAGTGACTTATTTTCAGTGGTGCTGTCTTATCTTGTCTTCAAATAGCATGTTGTGCCTGAAGAACAATTTCAAAGTCCCAGTAATTACATCAAAATTGTGCAGAAAGCTGTTGTCAGGACACCAGATAATAAGAGCTGCAGTCAACAAGGCATGACGGAACACGTGCAGATTTTTTCAGAGATGAGCACTTCCTGACGCAACAGGGAGAAAGATTAAAATTTAGACGTTCAACTCGCCACAGAGGAGAAAGGGGAACAACAGAGTCAAGTGCTCGACTCACCTTCTTGCTCTCCTCCATCTCGTGTTCAAACATGGCACTGAACACCGGCGAGCGAGCTGATGCAGAGGGAAACAAAAGACAGAGAGAGGGAGTTTGTTATTGTGTGCAATGTTGATCCACGGCGAGGTCTCTGATATCTGTTAACAGCCTGCCACAGGGCCAGAGCAGAGTGAGGCGGATGATTGACAGCAGCGACAGCAGTAGAAACATCATGTGGAAAAGGTTGACTGCAGCTCCTTCCTGCTGACAGACTCATGACGACCTCTCAGGTTTGTTTAGCAACTATTTGACGCTGATAGACTTGACTCGACCGGAGCTTGTTTGAAACATTATGCTTTAATTAATGCCTGTCTTCCCTTTTAGAGAACATGGTCAACTACTGCTATTCAACGTAGGCTATTCTAACATGGTGGCATAGAGAAGTGATGAGGTTTATTAACTCTACCATGCAAGAAGGTTATGTTTTCATCCCTGTCTGGGGACAGATCCAGAAATTAGCTTTTTTTGACATTTTTGACATTTTCACTCATTTTCCAGGCATATTTAGGGAATTGATTTCTATGAGTCTGTGCAGTTTGATGTGACTTGGGGTCTGTGCTCTACTGAAAGCCTTTCAATTTTCATAAATAACTTCTTAGGTGATTTTCACGTTTTTATGTCCTTACAAATCCAAAACTAAATGCTACAGTTACCAAATACTCTTGAGGCAAAGACAGTTCAATCCATGCTTAAAATGAGGTGTAAAAGTGTTGACAATACAATACAATTAGCATCTAATTTTCACTCAGATTGAAGTAGATTTAACATGTATTTACTATACAAAGTAAACACAGATTCAGTTTAATAAAATCACGACTGAAACAGTGACTCCAAAGAGACAAATGGATTATTCTGGTATTTTGAGTTTCAATACCTTCATAGTCAAGGTGAGCTATAACGTACTGAACCGCTTCACAGTATGTTTTCTCTCGAATTGTCTCCTACGTGACTCCCAGATGAAGAAGTCATGTTTAATCTCCAGCACAGACCGACGATGCTCGGTACCTGATCCAACTGCTGGGCTTCAAATTACATAAATTACTTCCGCTGCTTAGAATCACTGCTGTATGATCATTCTGCACGCTTAATCACCCCGTCTTGTCTGTGCAGTTCTGCTTTAGGAAACGACATCATACACTTTCCCTATCATCCTATGATGGTGGTTAGTCTCTGCACAGGTTGAATTTCAGAGATGAGATTGAGGCTGAAGTTGATCACCAGTTGTTTGCTCACCAGCGCAGGAAGAATGTGCCTCTTCAAATGTTAGAGCTTGGCCTTTTACTAAGAATCACATCTCAACCAGTGTCCTCTTCTTTTGGTTCACTTTGTTTGATGATGTGCTCACTGGGTTACACTTTATATTACTGTTTTCTAATATGCGTCTAATTAACTAGTGATTAAAATTTAACAAATGTTTAACACATTATTAAGTATGTGTCAAAGTCAGTGGTATGCTAATTAATTTAAGTGCTAAGTAATCAGTTATTAACTGCGGAGCTAGCTACCAATTTAATTACTCATTTAGAAACATGGTGTCATCCATCAACTCTGCCCAAGCCACAAATAAGTATTACTAGAGCCTTGCCTGAACGGGAGAAATAGCTGTCCCTAGTCCATATCATTGTCGCCACTGTGGGTAATTTCCTTATCTTTATTCAAGAACCTGGCCTTTCAGTTTGAGAGCAGGACTTATGATTTCATGTTCAGATTTCCACTCAAAACCCTGCGCTTGCACTCAAATATACCCTAATTGTGCATAGATTTCCTGTGCTCCAGCTTTAGCTCTACTCACGCTGCTTCAGTGCACACGGAATTTGAAACTCTAAATTGAGTGTGAATGGTTGTTTGTCTCTGGATGTTGTCCCTACACACTGGCAACCAGTCAAGGGTGTCCACCTCTCGACCCACTGCCCCCGGAACCCTCAAAGGACACACAGTATAGATAATGGATGGATGGACTAATGAACTAACATCAGGTTGCACACAATGTGTTTCGGATATGCTGTCGCTCAGGGTCAGAGTAATGTACAAGGAAAGGAAGGAAACAAAATGATAAAAGATAAACTTCTGGGTGTCCACAAAACTTTTAAGCAGTCCAAGAAAAGAAAAAAGCACTTTCCAACATTTTTTTGGGAAGAAAGTTCCTGTTATTTCATGATTGTGTAACAGGTTATATATTTGACAGTTAGTGCCAGGGGGATTGGCTAGCAATCAGAAAATTAAAGTTGCAACACACTTCTCTTCTGCTCAAAAGGTAAATTGTTTTGTCTACAGGGGAGTTGAGGGAAGCCGGCCAGACAACTTGTTGTTTTTTTTTGAACAGTTGATTTGTGGAAACAGTTCAATAATGATGAAGATTGGTTTCAGAAAATAATAACAGCGAACTAAAAAGAGGGAGTTTCGCTTCAGGATGTTTAAAAGACAATCAGATTGGCTGTAGCTTCTTAGTTAATTTTCAGTAGCTTAAATTGTATAGTATGCCAAACAAGCAAGTCAGTTTCATCTATTCATCTATCCATTATCTGTACTGGTTATCCTTTGAGGATCACAGGGGGAGCTGGAGCCAATCCCAGCTGACAATGTGAGAGAGGTTGTGTCCACCCTGGACAGGTTGCCAGTTCATCACAGTGCAGACATACACTGTATATATAGAGACAAACAAACATTCACACTCATCTTCTCACCTACACTCAATTTAGAGTCTCTAATTAACCTAACCCCTTGCCTGCATGTCTTTGGACTGTGGGAGGAAACATGAGTACCAATAGAAATCCCATACCACACAAAAAGACAGCGGCTGAACCGGGATTCAAACCTAATGGACATGATGTTGGTATCAATCCTTTGTCAGTTAAAGTCAGTCAAAGTTTGTATAATTATTCTTTAATACTTTGATCCTTTAGGCTAGTTTGGACATGCAGTAAAGTGTACATCCCAACTATCTGCACTGAAAACAAACTTTGCCCTGAATGCCCAGGTGGACTGTGGGGACAAACTTACAATAAGTCTGTCTGGTGCAGCTCAGTACTGGTGAGCTCATACTGCAGCAACAAAAGAAAGGGGTGGAGGAGAGAGAGACACAGAGAGACACAGAGAGAGAGAGAGAGAGAGAGAGAGACAAGCCCCTTTTATACAGCATGTTCGAGGCGGGAATGTTGCACCTTTATTCTGCCTCGCCGTTATGTATAAAAGCTATGAACACTGAATGAGGGGGCATTGTTGTTGCGCCTTTAAGCCGGCGGCGATGGAAGTCACAGAGCCGAACCAACATCTGTGTAGAAACGAGACAAAGCACTGCAGGACATATGCTGTCGTGTTACACATCATGCTTCAGATTACAAAACACCAGTGTGCTATCTAGAATCAAACAGGGGAGCAGCATTATAATGGCTTTGTTTGGTTCAACAAGCAAAACCATAGTGAGGGGTCTTCTTGATGGTATTCTAGAAGGGTCTCTGTGTGAGGCTAGAGTGAGTGAGAGATGGAGAGAGGGTCATAGAAAATGACAAAGACAGGAGGTAAAGAAAAAAAATGAGATGAGAGGATGATAAAAAAGTACAGAGAGACACGAAGACAAATAAAAGGATATGTGAAAATCCGAGAGGAGGTAGTACAAGGGGAATGGTGAATGGAGGCTGAAAATGGAGGAGAAGAAAGTATTAAAAGGAAAAACATTAAAGTAAAAGGCAAAGGAAAGATATTGAGAAAAGGTATGGGAGAGATAAAGGGGAGAAGGTGAGAAACAGAGCGAGGCGGTATGAAGATCACATGGCCAAACGTGGAGCCAATTTCAGTTGCTCTCCCTCCTTCGTTTGATCCCTCTCTGTCCATCTCCACGGCGATTAACGGCCGGGAGAGTTGTCACGGGAACGGCCAAGAAGGGGAATAACGAGTAGGAGGGACGTCGTCTGGGCCGAGCAGAGCGAAAGAGAGAGAGAGAGCGGGAGGGATGGGAGGGTGAGGGTGAGAGAGGGGGGACCCCAAACCACAGCAGCACATAATTAAAATGGCTCCTCACACACACACATTTCAACAAATCCAATAATGAACAGCCTCTCGTTGCCTCCGCAGAGACACTCAGTTCACCAGTTTTCTCAAACTTTTCACTATCTGACGCAGGCTGTCATAAAAGTGTCAATAAATTGTTCAAAATGCATCATTGTTGTTGTTTTATGTTTCTCTAAGTGTCTACGTATAGACACATTTGAACAATATTAATGCCTAAAAAGCAACAGAAGAAGAAGACAACACGCAGGTGTTGTTGAAGGTGCCAATAGCTGATTCCTGTATGGATATTCAATGTATTCAAATTTAACCATCCCTGTGGCAAGCAGTAGTATTCATTAAAATTAATAATTTGTATTAGGATTTCCTCTGGAATTTAATTCACGATGGAGAAGCATTTGAAACAGCATTTAGACTGAGACTAAAACTTTGAAATGAAACCCTGGATGATAATGACAAACTCCACCATGAATAATTAAAAACTCCACCACATGTATTAGTTTGAAGGAGATGTAGAGCTAAAACTAATAGCAGAATATTATTGTGTATTTCACAATGGTGTCATTCATACTGTATGTGCATTTTTATATACTGCACAGCCTGCCTACACACCCAACCAATATATATGAATTTGAATACTTACATTATTACATTTGCATATTCAGAGCCAGTTCTTTTTTAATAGTTGTATTGTATGTGATTTTTCGTTTTCATTAATAAAAATGATATTTTCATCATCACCAATTATCACCATCACTAACACCAAGCATCCACAAGTAATTTATCCAGAAAAATAATTTCCGTCTTTGGGTGAAGTAGTGTCACCTATAATAAGCAATAGTTCAATGTCTTTTCCTGGCGTAACTGTGAAGACATTGAAAGGATGGCCCAGTTGCTGTTGGCTGTTGCCATAGCAACCAAGGTCAGAAAAGACCCTAAAACATATGGTGAACAGATCTTTGGGTGAAGGGAGTGAGTGGTCAAAACGCTACGCCTCAGGGCCATGAGTTAAAAGGAAAGCATTGCATGAAAAGCTGTAGACAGTGTGTCTCAGGTAGACATGGTGCACAGTTTGGGATTAGGGGCCTTCACATGAGTATATTACACAATATGGTCCCACGATAGGACTTAGTCAGTAAACTTAGTTATGAGTTTGTATGCATTTAAAATGCTCCACCAGGAAGACAGCCTTCAGGGTTGGGGGTCATTAAACAGAGTTGATTTATACTGCTCATCTCTCTTCCCATGACTGATCGAGCCTCTTTTTCCAACACAAATTGGCATCATGAACTGAATCCAAAGAGAACTGTGACTGGTGAGTGCAACTTTTACTTTCTTACGCCATGCATGTGTTTAGTCATATCAAAGCAGATTTAAGTCATATAAAAGCAATCTGAAGATATCATCTTGGACATATTAGAAAAAATCTGAATGGGTGGTTTTAACTGTTTTCTACAATTTTACAAAATAAAAAATAATCAACTGAATACATAACAGTAAAAACATTAGTAACTGTCCAAAAGTTAACTTTGTAGAACTACAAAATTGTGGTAAACATCTCTATTACAAGTATGCTCTACTATTACGGACACAGTTTGCATGGAAATGACTTTATGTTGTACCGCAAGCAAGTGGGTGCGTTCATGATGTTTCCAAAGCTGTTTTCACACATGCACAACACAGCAGGAGGTTCTCTGCACAGACACGTTCACAACAGCAACACATCCTCCATTATTCAGACGAGAAGTGGAGCAGACAGAGGCAGGAAGTGATGTATTAACTCTGCTGCATAGATCAGGATTTTCTTTACAACACAGACACCGGCGTCAGGTCTTATCACCACAAACTGGACATCTTTGTCTGTGTCTTCTACATGTCTCACTGTTTTTTCACTGGGAGATATTTGTTTTATTTTGTTTTTTTGTTTTTTTGCATCTGTCGTGCGTCAGAAGCATCATCAATCCCCCCATCAACCCCCCAAAAAATGTGATCTCTGCAGTGGAATTAAAATGTTGCATACTGCCTATTGCATGTTGCCACGAGACGCTCACTGTGTTGTTCATGTCCGGACCTCATTGTGTGACATTCTCGGCGTTGATGTCTGAAAACAGCTTTAGTAACATCTTGGAAATTTCTGTGTGTAAATTCTTTTGAATTTGCCAATAAATGAAATTAGAATTTCTCTCAGGCATTTGCTCCTGAACAATTTTTTTACACTTAATAAACAACATAATAACACTTTCATGTTTTCTGTAAAAGAAACACTAAATCATACCGAATATTGATCATGACCCTGTCAGCAATTATGATCCTGCAATCACTTGAAACTGTTGATGTTTTCTCATATATATCATAAACTAAAATCAAAGTATTTATTTCCGTACACATGAGAAGACAGGAAGCCTGTTGAACCTGATACCAAGTTTCAAAGTGATTTTCGGTAATTGAACACTATGTGTAAAGATGGTACCCGTCCAATTTTAGAAACGTAGCCTAATGAATAAAAAGATATCCTCACCTGCCAAGATGGCTTTGTGCGCCTGGAATTTCTGGCCAGCGACACAAAGGGAGCAGTCGGTGAATCTCGAGTTTTCCCACAAATCCCCGAGCTCTTCTGCCAGCCTGCAGTCTGGAACCTTCACCATGTTCATTGTGTTCTGGCCTGAGATGTTCACAGAGTCCTGCACCACACTCACCTGGAAACACACACATGTATACAGAGTACAAATATGTCAATTAATTTGTATTATTATCTGGTCAGGATGTAGTAGTTTTTGTCTTTTATTGGACTGAGAGGAGTATACTACTTACACACATAAAGTTATAGTTCAAGTGTTCACACAGAGACTAAAAAATAGCATGCAATGTTCATAAAAAGACAAAAGAAATCTGTCAATCAAACATGCTGTGAATGATTAATGTGGGTTCTCTGCCTCTGTAATCAATACATCAGCCACTCAGTATGGGGGCTATTCAAAGACAACCTATTCTTCCCTCTTTATCCAATCAGACTGGCTACACTCTCAAACAAGCCAGAAAATCGGCACTGAAGTCAAATTGGGCGTGTGTGTGTGAGTGTGTGTGTGTGAGTATG